TTTTTCTGTATTTAGGACAGGGTCTACAAGGTCTCACTATGTAGATCGGACCTGTAGTGATTCTCCTGTTTTCAGCCTCGCAAGGGCTGGGATTTAGGTGGACGCCAGCACGCCCAGTCTCAATCTCCATCTCATTGCCTCCCACGAGCAGGCTGGCACAACATTCCAGGAACTGAATCCCGGCCACTGCGTCTTCCTAAGCAGGCACTTTAGTCTGCTGAGCTATCAGGACAGCTCTTAATTTTAAAAATTTGAAAGCATTTAAAAAACTTGTTACAATTGAAAAAGATTATTCATAAAATATTTTAAAATTGATAATGAATATTATAATTTCAAAGCTAGTGTTGATTTAACACTTGATTAACTCATAAATCTAATTATAAGTGTAGATCATTGCAATAATTTTAAGAGATATGGATGTAATTCTGGTAATTCATTGGTTCTTGAATAGTTCTACATTCTAAGTATTTTTGAGGTGAAAAATGGAAACTCATCTGAAGCAAAAGCATGATTTCGGAAGTTGCTCAAGTTATTTCTTATTACCATGTTTGGAAAGGTTAAAAACACTTGCAAGAACCTTAAGCCTATGGAATAATTTTTCTAAATATTTCATGAATAAAATAAAGTACAAGGACCAACAGTATTCATTTTCAAAAGAATGCCTTTTTTTAGAAAAATGTTTTCAGTTTCTCAAAATAAACTAACTACTTTATTATTTATTTATTTGATGTAGGGTCTCAGACTTGTACCCAGCTCAGACTTGTAGTGATCCTCCTGTCTCAAACTCCCCAGTACTGGGATGACAGGCATGCACCATCACACCTGGTCTTGGTGGCCAGCACAGTGCACCTGGGGCTCCAGGGCCAGCGCGGCGTGTGGTACCAGGGGTGGACACCGAGTCCTTGCACTTGGCAGGCAGGAGCTCAGGCCATTGAGCTACCTGCCCAGTCCTAAGCCATGTAATTTTGAAGTAATGTTAGCATTGAAAGGAACATAGTTTTTCAAAGAATTTCTCTAGGTTTTGGATGCTTCCTGGTTATAGTTAGACATACTGACATATAACAAAATGACTGACTTTGTCATTTTGACAAAGTCAAAATGACTTTTTCATTTATAATCTTAAGAAACTGTGCTTAATAGCCCTAAATCCTAAGATTTTTTTTTAATTGACTATACACCAGATACTTAAGTTAACATAAGGATTATTTTTGCTTGTTTGCTTGTTTTGTTCTTTTTTTTTTTTTAAAGGGCATCCATTCATGATATCCTTTTCCTTCAAACCTAAGAAGTCTAGCTGAATTCTTCAGCAAATTTACCAGGAAGTCTTCTATGGCACACTTGCTTTTCTCCTTTTATCTCCCCAGTGCCCAAGAAATTGAGGGAGGCATTAGAGGTCTCAATTTTGATTACTTAGTTTTTAGTTAGAAAGTATTTGCATTGGTATTAATCAGTGTTGGTCATAATTTTTTTTTTTTTTTTTTTTCAGAACCAGGGATTGAACTCAAGCCATTAAGCTTGCCAGGGAAGCACTTATTCCACTGAGCCACCTCCCGGGCCCTGGTCATAATTTTATGACAAAAATAAAGTCTAACAAAATATTGAAGGAAATTGCACTTATGATAGGGACACTTTACAGGGCAAGTATAAAATATGAAACTGATAAATTAATTTATCCTCATGTATATTGGTCTCAGTTACTTTTCTCTCCTTGCTAGGACAAAGTAAACTGACACCTCAAATAAAGGAAGGAAAGGTTTCTTTAGAATACAGTTAGTGGAGGTTTCAGTCCATACTTTGCTGGCTCCAAGGCAGAGCAGCACGTGGCAGAGGGCAGCCATTCATGTCTGTGGAAAACAGCAAAACAGCAAGAGCAAAGGGGAGGTGCAGCAGCAACAAGGGTGAAAGAGAGCAAGTTTGTCTCCCTTATGCTGCATTCAGGCTATCTGCCCCAGGCACATCCATAATCCCAGTAGCATTTACATCCATAATCCCCGCAGTACTAACACCTGTGTTCCCAGCCTTGGATCATGAATTAATCACAAAGTCTAGAAGTCCTCCCCATTATTGCATGAGGCTTTCTGGGGGACAACTAGACACTATAAAGTTGGTGAAAGTTTGCAAAGATTATGAAAACTATTCAGCTGCTTTTGTAATTTTGGATTTATTATGTTCATCAGGTTAATATAACAGAAAGACAAGAAATACTTAGAGGTAGTAAAAGCTTTTTAGTATTTTAAATTTCTGTATTTCACTTTATTCACGCATCTGTGTAATGTATAGTGTTTATGGCCCTGTGGGAATTTGGAATTTGGTAATATACAAAATGCATCTTAAAACCTTTTTACAGATCCCCGGCACCACATGCTATACCAGCCCTGCCCACAGGGTAGGTTGAGCCAGTCAGAGTGTGGATATAGTCACCTACACCTATAATCCCAGCACTGGGGAGGCAGAAAGCAGGAGGATCACCATGAGTCCAAGCTGCATAATGAGACCTTCTTACAACCAAATACATAAAAATAAATTAAATAAAACACTGGTTTAAAAAAACAGCAAAAAACCTTTTTACATTCTTCTTCCCCTCCCTTCTTCTCTTCTCCACCCATTACTTGACGCCATCTTGTATTTTGCAAGCATGTTTGGAGTGTATTTTCACATGCTATCTGTGGAGTTGGTCCATGCACAAAGCAGATCCTGATTCCTTTTCTTTAGCTTTGACCTCTTCACAATTCCCCCATACTCCATCTCTCAATCC